CACCACCACCACCGTGAGGTGGTGGCTGCCACCACCTACCACCACCGGCCACCATAAGGGTGGTTGTGTGTGTGTGATTATTTTGAGTGTGTGTGTTTATTTTGGGTTATTTCATTATAAAATTGTAATAGTGGCTAGAATAATGAAAAGAAAACTCAAAACCACCACCGTGAGGTGGTGGCTGCCGCCTCCTGCCGCCACCAGCCGCCGTGTTGGGTGGCAGTGTGATTAGTTGTGTTTGGATTGCTTTTGGAGTGTTTGGACACAGATTGGACTAGAAACCCTAATGGATTTAAGGACTTAGCTATTGGGCCTATTGGGTAGGGAATGGGTTGGAAACCCTAATTAGGGTTTAGAAAACCCTAATTGTGGATATATGGGCCTTGGACTTATCGGGACCCACATTTGGGCCATTGGAATGGAATTGTCAATTACACCCAATCACATCATATGACTTATCTAGTAGAGTAATGGACTTAATGAATTAAGTCCTTAATGGTGTAACACCCATAAAGATTCAAGCCAATTTAAAACTTTTTCAAAACATTTAAAACCAATAGTCATTACAAATTCGTTTTCAAAATAGTCTAATATCAGAGTTCATCCCAGAAACATAAATAAAACATGAGGAGATGTACGATAACGCCTTCTCCTTGCCGCGATCCCCTGATGTACCTGAAACAATAAACTGAAACTGTAAGCCCGAGGCTTAGTGAGTTCCCCGAAAATACCGATGCACTGCACATAATATATATACAAATAATAGCATGTACCGGGTCCACAGCTTTACAGAGTGGATTACCCCTGGCCCACAGTGTGAGTCTGGATTGCCTACCGGGCCCACAACTCACATCTGGATTGCCATCGAGCCCACAGTACGAGTCTCCCTCAGCTCGTATCTGGAATGCTCCAACTACTGGATTACCATTGGGCCCACAGTGAGAGTCTGGATTGCCTTCCGGGCCCACAGCTCGCATCTGGATTGCCACCGAGCCCACAGTACGAGTCTGGATTGCCTACCGGGCCCACAGCTCGTATATGGAATGCTCCCGGGTTTGTTGGTTACCGCACGGAGCAGTATCACCTTAACCCATCCCCCATAACATATCAACATATAACATAACTACTGAGCATGCAGATAATCATATAACAACACAAGTAGTCCTACATACCTACCTAACTGGCATAACCACTAGCATGCAACACTAACTCATACCCAACATCTAACACTGATAGGATAACATATCCAATGGGCCGGCCTTGGTGCCTTAGACCCCTTAGTATAGTGATGTAACTCACCTCGCACTGTCGACTTGAAGATAAACTCAAGCTCTTGGATTGCCGGTACGACTCCACCTCCTGAATGCACCATAGAACCATGCTTGTAAATTTCCAATTTCCCAAAATGCCCCAGAGTCTAATAGTCAACCCTTGGTCAAAGTCAAGGTCAACTGTCAAAGTCAACAGTCCATGTTGACTCCAACTCGTCGAGTACAACCAACCACTCGTCGAGTTCCTTGCATAACTCGCTAACTCGCCGAGTCACTTGAGCGACTCGTCGAGTTCCTAATGTCAGTGGCCGCAAACTCCTTGGCCACTTCGTCAAGTTTCCCCTTTACAACTCGTCGGGTTCATACGTGTCTAAAGGTCGGGAAAACCCTAGCCGACTCGCCGAGTCATTCGACTGACTCGCCGAGCCCAAGGCAATCTTCATCGGACTCGCCGAGTCGTTCATCCGACTCGCCGAGTCCATTCAGTCCTTCATCCATACAGTGGCTTTTTAAGCCATGCTAAGGCTCCATATTGTAGATCCAGCTTCCCAAGGCATGTTTATCACGTAAAGTTGCAAACTTTACGTGCATGCAAGGCCCTAAAGTCTTAAAATGACAAACTAAGCTTGCAAATGGAGGTTTGCACCTAGGGAGAGTCTCATCTTTGCTAAAGTTGGAAGCTTTATGGACTTAAAGGCCCAAGAGAGTTCAGATCTGAAGTTACAACTTCAGATCTTAGCTTATACACAAGAAAAGCTTCCAAACATACTAGAAAAGCCCTAAATTTTACCCAAAAGAGATCTAGAAATGAAATGAGGTCAAGATAGCGATTTGATACCTTCCAAAGGATGCCACTAAGATAGATTTCAGATCCCACACGTTCCCTTGCTTCTAGATACTTGCTCCCAAGCTCTCCTCTCCAAAGATCTTCTTTCAAAGCTTAAGAATACATAAATGGAGCACAATCACACGAATTAGGGTTTCTGGGTTATCAAGAGGTTGTAAGGGGAGGCTGAGGAGGCCAATGATCGTTTAAATAGGGTGCAATACCCCGGAATTTAGGGTTTCATCTGCCAGCTCCTACTCGTCGAGTCCCTTCTTGGACTCGGCGAGTAGGTCACTAAATCACGCGGACCAACCCGCTGCTACTCGACGAGTAGGGAAACCAACTCGTCGATTAGGCCGTGAAATCAAGAAAATTCTTATTTAAAATCAATACCTGAGAATCGGGGCATTACAAATGGGTTAAGTGAGAAACACTTAACCTTAATTGTCATTTTATGTGAAACCCTAATTTCACTTGGGCTTTGAGTTGGGCCCTTCTTTTGGGCTTTGGTGATTGGGATATTGATGGGCCATCCAAGAATAATCATATGGACTAGAATATTTAGATGGGCTTTAGGGTAAGGCCCATATGTGAGGTTCGAGCCCAATTTGGAAATTTGGGCCATAGATGGGCCATAATTGGGCCTTTATGATTATGAGATATTGGGCCATTAGAAATGCCAAATGTTTGGACTGGACTAAATGGTTGGGCCTTAGAATAAGACCATGTAAAGGTTTGGGCCCAATTTGGAAAATTGGGCCATATGTTGGGCTTTGATTCCTAGTTTGACTTTTGGGCCTTTGGATTGGGCCTTAGGCTTGAATCAAGCCAAGATGGGGTAATGTAGCCTATTACTCCAAGAACTTATGGTTATGTGTTGGGACCCAATTATTAATTGAGTGATGTTTTGATATTGACAGTTCGGGAATCTATCATCCAGCAGCTGGGGTTGTGTCTGCGGGACTTCTGCAGTGTGAGGTGAGTTACCTTCCAGTAGAAGTGGGTCTACGGCTACAATGTCGGCCCACTAGTAGGAGTTGGTTGATAGATGATTGTCTTTGTGATAATTATCTAGGTTTGCTACTACCTGATATGTTTTATGTGTTAGCATGATATGATGTTATATGATAGTGGTAGTAGGGGGAATAGTCCCCGGTTACCGGTTGAAAGATACCGAAGGGGTCGTCAGAACCCATGCATGCCTAGCGGTATGTTTATGATAGGTTATTATGTGGTAGTGGTAGGGGTGAAATAGTCCCCGGTTACCGGTTGAAAGATACTAAAGGGGATGTTAGCTCCCGGTTATCGGTTGAAAGATACCAATGGGGAGGTTAGCTCCCAGTTACTGGTTGAAAGATACCGAATGAGAGGTTAGCTCCCGGTTACCGGTTGAAAGATACCGAAGGGGAGGTTAGTTCCCGGTTACCGGTTGAAAGATACCGAAGGGGAGCCCAGCTCCCAGTTATGCCAGACAGATACCGGTTGAAAGATACCGAGGGACAGACATTATGTGGTATGTGGTATGATGGGGGAACTCACTAAGCTTCGTGCTTACGGTTTGCAGTTTTGGTTTCAGGTACTTCGTTTTCAAAGGAAAGGAGTCGACGATCACAGCGCATCACACTCTGTTTTCCGCACATGAGATCTTTGGAATTACACTCTGATATGGTTTTATGATAATATGATTTGATTATTGACACTTTGGTTTTAACATAAGATATTATTATGAATGTTTTTATACCGTGGTTTTATAATAACTTAATTACAAACGGAATTTTTGGTCTTGAATTTTGGGATGTTACATTTCGGATATCCGAAATCCAAAAATTATGATTTTTTTTTATATTTTATTTGTTAGTTTAATCCCACATATAGTTAATTAGTAAAGTATATTCGTAATACCATTAATTAAACATCTTTACTACACATCTGCATTGCCTATGAATTCTCGAATGTAGTCACAGAAATGAAGAATGAACGCACTCAAGTCTTTAATTTTGATATATTATATTACCTAGATATATAACTATAATTTAAAGATAATATGAATGAGAAGCACTATCTTTTTCTACACATACAAAAACAAATTGTCCCAAGTCGCAACTTAAATATCATATCGTAAAATTGAAAAAGTTAGTTTAGTTAACATAAAATATACCATTTAGAATATTAGGTGTGCTGTTTAGACATATTCATTCATAACTATTGCATTGGCTTCTATAATAGAAATGATTTTAAATTTGGACCAAAATCTAAAACATTCGGATATCTGATTTTGGTATCCGAATCCGTATCCGAATCCGAAATTTCGGATATGGATTCAGGTACCAAGAATAACTATCCGAATTTCGGATATCTGAATTTTCGGATATCCGGTTTTGAATACCCCCTAAGTAATACATATCACGATATTTATCTTTTATTAAATTTCGGAGGTAGAAAATGAAGTCCTTGAACTCCATGTTTCGTAAGTTTGCCCCCATAACAAAAGTCTTTTCAGGATTAAAGTAAATCAAAGGCTTAGAAACAAAAACACCTTTTGTCCTAAACATCTATACTAAAGTGCACCATCTATTGATAAAAACATTCTTGTCGTAAAAGCTAAAGTCAAGTTGTTGAAGGTTTAAGCACTCCAAAAGCCAAATTCAAAGCCAAACAAGTCACATTATCACATAAGAGAACAAGGACAATATATAAACTATAGATGCAAAATGATATCTATTCTAAATGTATCATCTCTTTTACTAGATAAAGAAATAACCACTTAACAATAAAATTGGTTATGACAATGGCTAGGTATTTCTTGTTAATACATCAGATGCAAAAAGATTTCCAATGTGTAATAAAAAAAACCCCAAAGACCGAGTTTTTAAAGAATCATGAAACTACCTACACAATCCTTCACAAGCTATAGAAATCAATTTCAAGAATAGAGAGTACACAACTTACACTAATAATAGTTGATGCTGTTAAACCCTCATCACGAGTCCACCCAAAATATGGTACCCTTCTCAGTTTTAGTTCTCTCCCAAAATTTGATTTGAATTCATATTTTACGCTTCACATACAACACCAAGCTTACATTAATCAATACACTTCGAATTTGTATGATTTTTTTTTGTTTGCAGACAGGAGAAACAGTGACCCATAAATCTTACCCATTGGCTGATGTTCAGCTTACGATTACAATATTGGATCTTGTTCAACAAGCTGCTAACTCCAAACAACTCAAAAAAGGTCCCAGTGAAGGTATGATCCCAATTCTCCTTATGAATTTGTACTATGTCTCCTTAATCATCCGCATGTATTTCCGTTTGTCGCTTAAATTAATCGGCGCTCAAATATTGTGACCTAATTAGTTACTCTAATCACATGGATATCTTCGTTTTGACGATGAAATTAAGAGATACATGGATTTGGGAACTTTTGAACTAATTGATACTTGATAGGAGTATCAACTATTATATGCTAAAGATTATACATTTATGAGTATTTTTTTTCTTGGCTAAAGCTAACTAAATTAGGCCATGTTTCTTGTTCTTTTTCTTAACCAAATTTTATCAAGTTTGTGAATATCATTCTGACTTGTTTGGATATTTATTTTTGTTATTTTGTTCTTAATGTTGGTTCTAATCTTTTTTTATTTTTATTTAACAGCTACAAGGGACCTGAATAGGGGTTTTTCTGAATTTGTAGTGATGGCTGCAGACACTGAAGATTTTGAAATGATTTCCCATATTCCCTTCCTTGCTGAATATAAAGTATGTTTCTAATATTTTTGTATTTGTATTTGTATTTTTACACTTAACAATGCTGATAAAAGTTATAAAAACCAATAATGTACTAAAAAGATACTAAGTAGGTAGCCATTAAGGGGCTAAGTTGATAAATAAATCATAAATCATTGAGTTTGATGTTATTTTTTTTATATATAAATTATAAATTTATAATTGCAGAATGTAGCATATGTTTTTTGTTCCTTCAAAAGAAGAATTGGGGAGAGCATGTGTAGTTGAAAGACCAGTGCTTTCATGTTCGTTGGCCAGCATTGAAGGAAGTCAACTAAGATCCCAAATCCAACAACTCAAGGTTTACTTTATTATCTTCTCATACTCTTTACACACTAATTGAGGTTTAATCTTGTTCTTAATTATAAAATTATGAAATTATAAAATTCAGTCTTGTGGACTTTCAGGATGTGATCAAAAAAATACTTATCATGCACGAAGTTAAAAGTTTTCCAATATGTAAGGGTTTCATGATACTTAGAAATTCTATAAATTAATATTTAAGTTAAGTAGATATTATGTTACTTGATTTAATACCATTTAGTATTATTGACTATTGACACTCAATTCCAAAAAGCTTTGTTGGTGTTGCATTCAAGATAATCTTTAAAGAAGTAGTCATTTTTGTTAATATCCTTTTTTTAGTACATAAGTGATTTATAATAATTTTAGATGGTTGTAATTGAAATTAACTCTATTTATAAACTTGAAGCGGATGCTATTAATCGCTCTTTCAAACCCTCATCTCTCTCTACAGAATCCACCCAAAAAATGGTACCTTTCTCTCTCCCATAATTTGAATTTATGTTTTTCACTTCACATACAAACACCACATTTTACATTAATCAATACACTTTGACTCTTTGACTTTATATGAATATTTTTTTGTTTGTAGATAGAAGAAGCAGTGATGCCTAAATCTTACCCATTAGCTGATGCTGAGCTTACAATTAGAATATTGAATGTTGTTCAACTAGCTGCTAACTCCAAACAAATCAAAAAGGGTCCCATTGAAGGTATAAATCCCATAAGTTTAAAAAACTTTTTTTTTTTTTGTTTGTTTTTAATTTTTAATTTTTTCTTGTAGTTACAAAGGCCCTACACATGGATTTTTGTGAATTTGTAGTGATGGCTGCAGACACTCCAGATTTTGAAACCATTATTCATATTCCCCTCCTTGCTGAAGATAAGGTAAAAATATATTGCCATTTTTCAAAAGAAAATGGGTTTTTTAAAATGTAACAATGGTTTAATCACTACAGAAAATAGTTAAATTACTTTTTTAATATGTATATAAATTATAAAATTATAATTACAGAATGTAGCATACGTTTTTGTTCCTTCACAAGAAGAATTGGGGCGAGCATGTGGAGTTGAAAGACCTGTGATTTCATGTTCGTTGATCAGCACTGAAAAAAGTCAACTAAGATCCCAAATCCAGCAACTCAAGGTTTACTTTATTATCTTCTCATAATCTTTAATCTAATTACACACTAATTGCGCCTTAATCTGATTCTTAATTATATTTTAATTATAAAATTTTGTCGTTTGGACTTTCAGGATGTGATCCAGAAGCTCTTGATATAAGGACTTTATACAATATGATTTGTTACTATTGACAAGTGTACTTGTACATTCATAGAAGATGCTGATTTGTGCATATTAAAGAAAAAAAAAAGGCACAAGAGTTTTTTCCCTGTTTTGAAATATCTGAATTTTTATCCAGGCTAAAAACTGGTTTTCAGTTCAAGTGATTTTATATCTATTTTTAAAATACGTTATTGCAGAAAGTTTGCACATTTCAATGACGCCTCTTTTACAATTTTACAATTTTACAATTTTCATTCCATCATAAAAGCTTGCACTTTTTCAATGATGCCTCTTTTCATTGCAGAAAGTCCAACACGTGCTCAATTGTGATTAGAGTAGCACAACTCAATTGGACATAAGGTCACTGGAAATTTCAAGCAAACACATAAATAAGAAAAATATCGCAATTTATAAAACAAATACTCCAAAGTCAGCTCAAAATAATCGAGTAACAAATTAATTTCAGACTTCAAAAAAATATATAAAAGTTTCAGCTAAATAATCTATCTGTCTGACGCTGCTTTTACAACTTCGCTGCAAAAAATGCAAATCCACTTGCATATTCTCAGAGCTTCACGAATTTTTTGAATTACTATCTGCAAAAATATAAAAAAAAACAAAATCTAAAATTGTGTTTCCATATAAAGCACCAAGCTTTCCAATCTTTAAACTATTACAAAAAATACACAAATCATCTTTTTATCTTTTATGAATGTTATAAGTACACTTGTTGATAGTAAATACCAATGCAACATTATTCTCAAAAGCCATATAATAATAATACCATAATATTAATAAAAGTATTAAAAAAAAAAAAGCAACCGGACCTTCAATGTGAATCCACCAAAGTAGGATCAAACTGCCTCAACATGTCACAATTAGGCGTTTCACGTTGATACCCCCAATGAAGCCTTTGTGCCTCCAATCTACAATTATAAGAAAGAATCGACACGTACTCATGATCAATCCTTCCTTCAAGCTGAACCCTTTCATGACTATTTGATGGATACTTTTGTTCAAAGTTGCGTGATTTCACAAAATAATTAACCCCTTTTTGTGTAGTCAAACGATAATCATAGGTATATGTTCTTTGAAGAGAATAAACAGGTTCATTAGAAGGCAAGAAGCTGAAAATCAGAATGATAATAACTGGCAAAAATTGAAGCAAAGCCCGTATATTAAACCCATCCGACCCGTTTACACCTGTTCTTGTACCCATTCCGGGTCCAAAATTGAACCCGGTGAACTGGGTTGTGGTTCTTGGGTTCATTCCATAGAAAAAGTTTCTGAAAATCTCATCTGCATCTACTTCTTGATTGTAGAAGAAGCCATTGTTGAATCCTTGATGGGTCCTACGCCTGGTTGTTTGCCTTTCGTAAGTGGGTTCATCTGACCCGACTAGATCATACTGTTTTCGATTTTCATCAACGCTTAAACACTGGAAAGCTTTGGAGACTTTCTTGAAGGCTTCTTCGGATCCTGGTGCTTTGTTCTTGTCAGGATGAACTTTCAAAGAGAGTTTCCTGTAAGCTTTTCTAACATCTTCAACACTAGAAGTTTTCTCGAGCCCTAGTATATCGTAATAATCTTTTTTCCTTCTGATCTCCCTCACGATTGTGATCTGTTCTTCTGTACATGAACCGGATGAAGATCCAGTTCCCGGAACCCTACGCCGAACGTTAGAGCTATCACCATCACCGGCACCGGTCTGCGATGACTTTGGTGATTCATTTGTGGTTTCTAGAGTTGATAACAGATCGTCAACGGGAAGAGAAGGATCTAATCGTTGAGCTTTCTTGATGAATTTTAAAGCGCGAGTTCGATCGCCTAACCCTAACGCGTCTTTCCCAATTTTTAAACACTTCAACGCTTCATCTTTGTTTCCATCCATCTTAGAAAGATCGAAGCTTCTAACAAATTCTAAAGGGCACAGTAGATGATCGAAATCGAAGAGTAAATCGCTAAGTAGTGAGATTACCTGGAATGAATCAACGAAACTCCCAAATTGCAACCCGCGATCAACTGATAGGTAGAAATTGAGGTAATCGGTTAGATTTATGGTTGAATCAAGTGAGGTTTCTGATATGTTAGTGAATTTATCGTAGGATTTGAGAATAAATGTCGATAAAATTGGTTGAGGGAATAGGAATTGAGAGAGATATTCCTAATTCGATTAGGAACCCCGAGGGAGAAAAAGGGTTAGGTATAGTGGAATTATAGTCGTGGAAGTAGAATGCCTTTCTCAACAATTCAAGTTTCACGTGACATATATCGTTTAACATATATGGTTACATTTAGGAAATATTTACAAATACTAACTTTTTTTTACATTCAATCTACTATGTTATTTATAAATATGTATTACTTATATAAAATTGTATTTTATATTAAATACACAACATTAAAATGAGTATGAAGGTTTGAAGGCGTGTAGTCGATCAATGGCCAAATGTTAAATTTATAACCCGTAAAATTTTTACATCTCATATCATATTCAGAATATTATTAAGAACATCTTGAATCTTATGATATGACTCCCAAATGCTATAATGACTTAATCTTGAATGACCATTTAAATATTGAATGAGAATTTAATTATTCTTAAGGTATGTAATATGTCCATTAAAAATATTGTAAATCATATTTTTCAGCTCGATAAAATTATTTATACCTAATAGAATCATTTAATTCTAAATAAAATATGTGTAAAATTTACAACAAAAAATAAAATAAATAATATTTTATAAACGATAATTGATAAAATTTTGTTATTCTTATTCGAAGCTTATGGTTAGCTTAGTTATCATGATATAACTAATATATATATATATATATATATATATATATATATATATATACAGTGGCGGCCCTGGGGTGGTGCCGGCGGTGCGGTCGCACCAGGCCTCCGATTTTAGGGGGCCTCCGATTTTTTGGATAATTTATAGTTATAGTATTGATATTTTTGTAAAATATATTTTTATGTTTTATCAATAAATAAAATTAGCCCGGTAACATTTGGTTCCAATTTTAGATGCGTTTTAATTAAGGAAAAAAATTCAACAAAAATCAAAATCTAATTATAAATTTAAAATTTATCACCAATTTAAGGAAAATATCTATATAAAAAAAATGCAAATTTGTTTTCTTTATAAATTTTAGATAACGTTTTATATTTTACAAACTCACCAAAAAGTAAGAAAAACTCAAACCCTACCAAACCTAGAAATTGTGTTGCTCGTCTCTCGTCTTTTGGTTTTTGCTGTTTTGTATATCTCGTTGACTGCTTACTGCAAATTAAGGTTAGTATTTCATCTCTTTTAATTTTCCAACCATGCTTGTCGTTTGACTGCAATGCTTTGCTTTCTGTCTTTCTCTCCATGTTTAATGCTCCATAAAGTTAATAAATAATGAAACTGTTGGTTTATTTTTTTATGTATTGGCTTGATAGGTTTTTTATGTCTTGATCTATCTATATTTTATTATATATTGTTTTAGGTTTTGCTTTTTAGCTTTTCAATATTTAGGGTTATATGTCACATTGGTCAAAAGTAGGGCAATAGGTGATGTACGAATTTAGGGATGGGGTTGGGCATGGTTTATATATATATATATATATATATATATATATATATATATATATATATATATATATATATATATATTGTATTATAATAGATTGAAAACCAAAATTTTAAGTATTTTTTTAATTTGACAGTTATTTGTTTTTACTTTTAGCATATTTCATTTGAGTTTACAGTTTTCGAATTTGTATATTTGAATTGAATTCTTTGAATATCATATTAGTGGTTTGGGTATTTAAATCATATTAGTGGATTAGTTTTAACAGTTAATACCCATGTTAAGTTAAGTTGTTCAAATGTCCTAATTGTTTTAAACATTAAATTTTTAATAAATATTTACAAACATATATTTTAAAGTTATTAATATAGATTTTTTTTATTTAAGAAAAGCATGGCTCCAACTAGAAAATTTGAATCGGGGTCTTCTAAACGTAAAAGAAAACAGAAAGAAGCACAATTTATTGATAGTCAAAGAGGATCTATGGATTCATTTATTATAAAAAAAGTGTCGGAATATCATCGCAATGAAGAATCGGTTGGGGAAGAACATAAAGAAAAAGAAGAAGCCGAATTGCATGTGCCAGAAAATATGGATGAGATACATGAAACTGTAGAAGAACCTAGAGAAGAACTTCACAATGTTGTGGAAGAACCTAGAGAAGAAGAAGTTGAACTGCAAGTGCCAGAAAATATGCCTTGTGTAGATGAAGACATAGACAACTTGAACGACAATGGTGATGACAAAGAAGATATTCTAGTGAACATTTATGATCCTAGAAACTGGGACACCATTGATACTAAATGGAGAGATTTACTAGTGAAAAATGGTCCCATAAGAGATATATTAACAGGCAAAGGTCGTAAAGATGGAAGAAACAGACGTTTTCGTGCAGATTTTTACAATAAGTACTTACCAAACGGGGAGAAGCATCATAGAGATTGGCTTGTTTACTATAAGGATCTTGATAAAGTATTTTGTTTCTCTTGTAAGTTGTTTAAGAAGAAACCACAAGCAAGTAATCTAACACATGAGGGGATAAACGATTGGGGGCATCTTTCCCGTACTTTGAAGATGCATGAAAGTAGTGCAGAGCATATCCATAATATGTCTCTTTGGTTTGACTTACGTGCAAGGCTAGAAACTAACAAAGTTATTGATAAAACTTTTCAATACGAAATCAAGAAAGAGACTAAACATTGGAGGACGGTATTAAGAAGGTTGATTGCATTAGTGAAATTTTTATCCAAACAAGGCTTGGCATTTCGTGGAAGTAATGAGAAGTTGTATGATGAAAAATTGAAAATAATGGCAACTTTATGGCTTTAGTTGAGATGATCGCAGAGTGGGATTCAGTATTGGCTGAGCATATTCGAAGGATACAAAATAATGAGATTCATTATCATTATTTGAGTCACAAGATACAAAACGAGTTAATTTTTTTGCTTGCTTCTGAAATTAAAGATACAATTGTGAAAAGAGTTAAGGAAGCTAAGTACTATGCAGTAATATTGGATTGTACTCCAGATATTAGCAAACAAGAACAAATGACACTGATATTGAGGTGTGTTGATGTATGTTCCACTCCTATAAAGGTTGAAGAATATTTTTTGCAATTTTTAATTGTTTGTGACACCACAGGGCAGGGGCTATTTGACTCATTGCAAAGCTTACTACAAGATCTTGATCTTGACATCGATAATATCAGAGGGCAAAGTTATAACAATGGATCCAACATGAAGGGAAGACATAAAGGTATACAAAGAAAACTTTTGGATATTAATCCTAGAGCATTTTACACCCCGTGTGCTTCACATTCTCTTAACTTGACATTGTCAGATATGGCAAACTCTTGTGAAAAAGCATCAAAGTTTTTTGGAGTTGTTCAACGTATTTATACATTGTTTGCTGATTCGACAAAAAGGTGGAAAATTTTAAAAGACACATTACCGAAACAAAGTCTCACTTTAAAATAATTATCAACTACAAGGTGGGAAAGTAGGATTGAAAGTGTGAAAGCAATAGTTACTCAAGCTCCTGAAATAGTAAAAGCTCTGCATAAACTTGTTGAAGAAGAGACAGACATAAAGATCATAAGTGAAGCTACTTGTCTAGCAGAGTACGAACTTGGCAGATTTGACTTTATAACAGGTATGGTTATATGGTATCATATATTGGCTAAAGTAAATAACCTGAGCAAACAACTTCAGTCTGAGACTATGCGTATTGATGAGGCAATGAGTAGTGTGAGAGCACTTATTGAGTTTTTTAAAGACTATCGAGAGAACGGGTTTGAGAAGGCTTTAGATTGTGCGAGAGCTATAGCTTCTGATTTGGAAATTGATCCAGTGTTTGTTGAGAAAAATAATAAAAGAAAAGTTGTTAAAAAAAGACATTTTGATGAGAATGACATTGGGTCATCAGAGCCGGTACAGGAACTTTCACCTCAAGAGTCATTTAGGATTTAATATTTTGTGTACATAGTTGATCAAGCATTGGTTCATTGGAGCGAAGGTTTGAACAATACAAACAATATGAAGACATTTTTGGTTTCTTATTCACAGCAGAAAAGTTGAAGTCAATGAATACTAGCGAGTTAAAGTCATGTTGCAAAAATCTGGAAAAGAGGCTGCAAAATGGTCATATCTCAGACATTGATGCTGATGATTTATTCAACGAACTGGAGATGTTACAAAAACATTTACCGGTTGAACACAATACAGCTAACGGAATACTAAATTTCCTAAAAATGATGAACACTTATCCAATTTCTTGTCTAGCATACAGAATATTGTTGACTGTTCCTATTACAGTTGCGTCAGCGGAAAGAAGCTTTTCAAAACTAAAGCTTTTAAAATCTTATTTGCGCTCGACCATGTCTCAAGAGAGATTAAACGCTTTGGCATTGATTTCGATTGAGAACGAGTTTCTTGAGAATATTGATTATGAAAGTCTCATAGATGAATTTTCTTCTAAAAATGCTAGAAGGTCAATGTTTAGAAAATAGTAATGCGTTGTTTTTTTTTTTTTGAAAAGTTGTTTATATCAGTTTTACAGTTTTATTTGATTACTAATGAGTGATGAAGACATTATTTTGTGGTGGTGAATTTATAAGATGTTTTTTAGCAACTTTATGTTTTGAATTAGTTGTAGCAAATGTAGTTAATAATATTTACAAGAAATTTTTATGGGGCCTCATTTTAGTTTTTGCACAAGGCCTCCGAAATGTCAGGGCCGGACCTGCATATATATATATATATATATATATATATATATATATATATATATATATATATATATATATAACATTATGCTTTGAATGTTAAAAAAAAAACTTTGTATTCATATAACAATGTGGTTTTTAAATGAGAAAAAAATTATTTATACGGTTTTAAATGAAAAATGGTCAACACTGAACAAAATTGGAAAAAATGATGTTCGATTGAGAAAAAAAATAAACTTAGTGTCAAAATCGAAAAAGGTAGAAACTTAGTGTCTATTGTGAGAAAAAAAAATCGATTTTGACACGTCAGCATGTCATGTCAGCATGTCACATCATCAAGTAGTCAGAATTGTAACAAATTGGAAAACACAGTGTCAAATTTGAGACGAAAAAAACACATTGTCAACTGTCAAATTGAAATTTTGATGTAAATTTGATGTCTTTTATGATATTTACCCTTAAAATTAACTAAATTTTGTGAACCACCTTACAAAATTTTAGATAAAGGGAGCAAATAAGTAACTTTAAGACAATAAAGGGGAAAATAAATAGACAAAGGAAACAAATAAGTAACTTCAACTTAAAAAAATGGTAAACAACATCATACCCACGTCGAACTCGTCCCAATGCCCTTACGTAGGATAAATCATATAGCTATAGCTATTTTTTAATATGTAACCTCAAACCTTTTTTTATAAAATTTCATACATCAACCAGTGTGTTTTACCATCATATGGACAAATAACATCATGTTAGATAAGCACACAGAAATACGGAATTTGCAATCTAAAAATTACCCATGATTCATTACAATCTCACCATTGAAGGGCCTTTTTGGACATTTGACCAGTAATCCAAAACGGCAAAACTTTTACTAAACCATGGTCCACAAGCTTCCCCTATCATCTCATTAAGTGAACTTTTGATGGGCATTGTATTTGTAGATATAAGATTCAATCACAAATGGTGTGGATAATGAAATATTTTCGTGGTCCTCATCAAATAGGTTTATACTTTGGCAAAAACGTTAATAAACACACTTTGTTTTTATCCATTTTGTGTGGCGCCAAAATGTCTTTTAAATTGCGGATAAATCTTTGATAATTTTTTTTAATTTAAAAAATTGTTTAAAATTTTGAATATGAGATTCGAATTGTAAAATTGTTTAAACATGTCAATATCAAAATAGTTTTTTTCACATAATTAGTTTATTCAAACCAACATTAAATCTTAATACGAGTTATATGCAATCAATTTTCAAAATTGGTCTTAAATATATTAGATATCACTATAAAATATGCAATTTATATAACTAATACACATCCTTAAAATGTTCATAAAGTTACTGAGCAATACAAGTTGGAAAATCAAAGAGTAATTGTTATAGCCCTTGTTGTAAATCTAATTTTTAAAGAAGCTTCTAAAAAAAGTGTAGTATTTTAATATTGTAACATCCTAAATATTATTTTAAATTTCACATATTTGTCCATTAATTACACAATACGTATAAGGTAATATATTATATGCACATTGAATATTGTTTTATTTATATATGGAAGGTGTAGATAATATATTTTGCAAATATTTACTTTTTCTCTTTATTTAGTTATAGGAATTTTTAGGCAAAATAATTACAAATTTCTCAAGAATCAAATTTAGTTTATGAAACTTGAAAAATATAAATATCTAAATGTGTTTTGAGTGTTGCCACGGCTTCAAGAGTAACTTTCAAACTTGTAGAACGCAATTTATATGTTGATTTTAAAGGATTTTCTTAATCTTTTAATAACTGCAATTTTTTTTTTCATACATTTATATTTTGATTTGATCACTAAACAAATATCAATTTTTTTTACATACTTTCAATTAATATGTGGCAGGTTTTACAAATAGAAATATTTATATTTTCAATAAAAAAATACATATTATAAATTTAAAAATAAGTTAAAAAATAATGAAAAAAATAATAATAAGTTCTATGTATTAACATTAAATTTTTATATATTTTTTTCAAAAGATTACGACAATATTAAAAGGTGGTTGTGATTTCGCCCCAAATCAGGTCATTTCATAAACACTGTAAATCTTCCAAATTCCCACAACCAAACGGCCAAACCCACCTCCGTTTTCTCTCTCTAACACTTCACTGAAGATTTTAGAGAGAGAAACACACACAAACACACACCCAGAAAGAGATGAACGAGTGACTGAAGCAGCAAAGAAGACGATCGATTTCTATCGTCATCAAAGAACTCACCTGGTACGATTTCCCTTTTAATCAAAGATCCTATTTTTCGTCATCGTTTTTATCGCCAAATTGGGTTCTTCTTATTCCTAACCTTTTACCGATTTTCATGCGTCCAACTCGATATCACATTGGTTTAAGAGTAAAACTGTAAAACCTAAATCCCATTTGCGGCCAATTAACAATATCTGATTGTGTAAATTTAATCCATGCAGAAAAAAAAAAGTTGTTTGATTTCAGTTTCTCGTAAGCGTTGGTGATTTATTAACTTTATTCAAATGGATACACGAAGATTACTTGAGAACAAAGGAGAAGGATTATTCCCAAATTCCGGAATTGGATTTCTTTGGTGTCCTCGAGATGATAATAACTTTTCACAATCTGGAGCGTTATTCGCAAGCGTAGGACAGATGGGTAAAGGGGGTTTCAGTGGGGTTTCCCCTAATTCGAAGAACACCAACAATAATGGCGGAGTGAAGCTCCCATATTCATCCAAATTCGTTTCAACACCAGAATCAAATTTTCGTGCTGTTGGGGCACCAGAGATCGAGGTAGGGGAAGAGTGGGTAGGGGGGTTGAAGAAGAAGAAGAAGAAGAAAAGCGGATTGAAATTAAAAATCAAAATTGGGAATCCATCTTTAAGGAGATTGATCAGTGGAGCAATTGCAGGAGCAATATCAAGAACTTCTGTTGCTCCTTTGGAAACTATAAGAACTCATTTAATGGTAGGGAGTTGTGGGCATTCTACTGTTGAGGTTTTTCAGGATATTATGAAAACAGAAGGCTGGAAAGGACTTTTTAGGGGTAATTTAGTCAATGTCATTCGTGTTGCCCCTAGCAAGGCAATTGAGGTATTAAATTCTACATTTCTACAAAAATAAATGGATCCATGTATAAATATTTGTCAATGACTTTTTGCTTCCACCTTTTTGTGTCATTGGATCTGATGATCCCGTCCAATACATGTCAAATAAAGTACAATTTGTTCTGTCGTGTCGTGTCGTGATATGACAGTATATATTTCTGCAGTTATTTGCTTATGATACCGTGAAGAAAAATTTGGCTCCTAAACCGGGAGAAAAGGAAAAACTTCGTGTACCGGAATCACTGATTGCGGGGGCGGTCGCCGGAATCAGCTCTACCATATGCACATACCCTCTTGAACTACTCAAAACCCGTCTCACAGTACAGGTACTTTTGAAATGGTTATTTGTTACCATTTTAACTATTGTGGACAACAACGGTATCTTATTTGTTAACTTCCACTACTGGTTTAACTTTTAAGTTAAACCAGGAGTTATTGTAACTTTTAACTTTTAACTTTTTTAATCTGTGTGGTCCCACAGAGAGGCGTATACAAAAACCTTGCCGACGCATTCCTCAAAATCGTTCAAACCGAGGGGCCCGCAGAGCTCTACCGCGGGCTCACCCCAAGCCTAATCGGCGTCATCCCATACGCCGCGACAAACTATTTCGCATACGACACGTTACGAAAAGCGTACAAAAAGCTCACAAAAGAAGAACAAATCAGCAACATTGCAACTTTGTTAATCGGGTCAGCGGCGGGCGCGATATCGAGTAGCGCGACTTTCCCGCTTGAAGTGGCACGGAAACATATGCAAGCGGGTGCGATTAATGGAAGGGTTTATGATAACATGTTGCATGCTTTGCTAACGATTTTTGAGAAAGAAGGGATTAAGGGGTTGTATAGGGGTTTAGGGCCAAGTTGTGTGAAGATTGTTCCGGCTGCAGGGATTTCATTTATGTGTTATGAAGCTTGCAAGAAGATTCTTGTGGAAAAGGAAGAGGAGGAAACATGAAAGTTGAAATTTTTGTTTGTGTTTTTTTGAATAAAGGGTTTTGAAGTATGGATTAGGGTTTTGGGTTTTGATTCATGTCTTTGAATGGTAGTTTTTGGTATAGGGGTTTTTGCATAAATTTTGGATTATTAGGGTTTATGTTAATTTATTATCGATTTTTGGGAATTAATCTTTGTTTGGTTGCAAGTTTAGCATGTTATGTAGCAAACGTAAAATGAATCAAGTGGATGGGCGATTACATGAAATTGCTCAATTTTTGCGTAATGCATTGTGTTTTTTTTTTTTGGGTGAATATCCAATAAGATAAGTAGGGATGAGTATCGGTTTAGATCCGGACCAAGAAACGAAGAACTAGAACCGGTTTAGTGGTAAATGGAAGCGGACTGAATACCTTGGTTTCGGTCTTTTCTGATTCAGTCCGATTCCACTAGGTTATAGTTGATTGTCTTCTTCTTTGGGAAAGAGCAGTTCAATTATTTGATAAGATTATTATTAACATCTTTATTTTGGCGATCAAGAAATTTAATAATATTATTCGTCAATTAATATGTAATAAAAAACATAGAATTAAGTATTACTTGCATTGGGCCATTCCATCGTATCCATATAATAATAATACCATCTTTATTAATTTTTATTTTCGTATTTTATAACTAACCTATAAAAAAAAGGTTAATGTGAATTTAGCCGTACAAACTTTTTCCATTTGTTTCAAAATGTCATTTCATGTTTTATTTTTGGTAGTTTAGGTTAATGTTTTAAAAATCGATTTGAACCGGTCGGTCGAATCGGGAACCGGAGAAGGGAGCGGTTCAACTAGCATTAGTTTTATATCTATTTATGAACCAGAATGAACTACTGACATGTTTTACAAAAATCCGGTCGAACCGGTTAAATTAAACCGGTTGAACCGGTTAAATAAAATAAAAACATATGGAAATAAATCATTTTCATAACAAACTATGGTTTTTTTCCACATCTATTTAGATTTTTTTGAATAAAAACACATGATAAATGTTATAAAGTTTTTTAATGTGTTTATATTCATCTAAAATTATATTTTGTTTCCTTATTATACACTATTTTATTTTTGATGTGCGTGGATTGATTTAAACTTACGGTTATATGTTTTTAATATATTTGGATTTGATCTTCAACTTGTATTTAATTGTATTTTTAATGTTTAAATTTGTGAATGTCTATGCATGTGTAAGAAAATAGAAAATAGATGAAAATTTTGAAATTGGTTGAACCGACAGTCGAACCAGTTAAACCGGGAACATATCACCATACCGGTTCAACTAATAAACTGGTTTTTAAAACATTGGTTTAAAGGCAAGAGGTGAACATCGTCAGGTTTAAATGGTCCTTATCAATATTTTGAAGATTGTCATAAAAAAGTCTTCCCATGATGTTATTGTCTACATCTTATTGTCTACAGGATTCCCACAAGCAATAACAAATGTCGTTGACTTTTTCTTCCCCCCTTTGCTCCAACGCCTCCTTCTCGACTCATCTTTGCTTCCTTTTCTAAATGTAGTCTAGATATGGCATCGTTGAAAGACCTTGGCAAGCTTGTAAACGGATTTCTTTGGTCGCCAAGGAGGCCATGAGACGGGCCATGTCATTATCGATAAGCGAGACTTGCAATCCTTAATCCGACGAGCCATCTTATCAGTCACTGACATATCCGATCTCACTAAAGGCGAGGTTTGCAATTTCGTGATTATAGATACCAAACCCATTGAGTTTTGTATGCCGAAGAGAGGGAACGAGAAGGTTAGAAAGAGAGAGGCCTACAAAAAGAAAGAATGATCCATCAGAGCAAGTAGACAGGCAGCGACATGAATGGAGTAGTTTCAAATGTAGTTTTCATGTTATCTTTCTCCATTTATGTTTTCCGGCGAGGTGTTTGCTCTAGATTAGAAATCCATCATAGCATGATCTCTTTGGTGATTGTTTCGTTTTCATGAGGTTGATTCAGGTCATCTGGTGGCTCTCAAAGATATGTAAGGTGATTGAAGGGCAAAAGGTTCTAAAAAGCTCGTCATGACGCGCCATGGCTCCAAGGCTTGTACTTGCCGTCAAACTTTAAAAAAAATGTCTCTCTTAAGTCATATATGTATATAAAAATGAATAATAGTAGTATATATATATATATATATATATATATATATATATATATATATATATATATATATTGTTAGGAATAAAACCTTAAAGATCGATTAGATTCTAGAACAGATAAAATAAAGAACGCGATGATGAATCAAGAATATCGAATGATTAAACGTCACGCCTCAGAAGAACTCTATGAAGAATTTCTATTGTAGAGGTGTGTTTAAGGTTACAAAACAAAAGATAAGAGTTAACTAAAATACGATACATGCATGCATCTTAAATACTCTAACCCTAGAATAAATAACGAGTGGACAGGCCCAACTCGATAATACAAAACGACTAAACAAAAGGCCCAATGACGCAACATTAAATACCCAACAATCTCCCCCTTTGCGTCAATTGAGGCACGAACCCATCAGCCTTGGATTCGCTTTTGAACTTCATAAACCTTTGGAATGATGCCAAATATGGTCTGACGAACTTCCAGATACCATAAAATCATATCAGAGAAGCACTTGACATCATCCTTGCTGTTACCCTTGAATCGCTTCACCAAATCCAATATATGCTCAAGAAATTTGGTAGTGAACAAGTGTTTGTCGGAAAGGAAGAAACAACCTCTGCGATAGTCTGGACCGGTTTGTTCCCTAGCCTGATACACCACATACCATTCGTTGCTATAGATCTTCCCCGACTTCAACTTCTCAGAATCTTTTGGAGATTCCGTGAGAACAACAGTAGGCTTCTTTCGCAACACCGCTGTAATCTTCACGTCCATGTCCCCGATCTATTGGATGTAAGACTTGATCATGATTTGGAGATGAGACATGACAGGTTCATATTTGTCTTTGTCCTTCATCAGTAGGTTGTAAAGAGCGAACCAGTCATTGGGGTTGAGACAAGGCAAGTCAGCAAGAGTAAATTTGTAGCATTGACTGGATGATCCCCTTGAAACTTTGAACTTCACGTTCGGAAAGTTGTCCGTCTCGATAGGCCCTGTGACTTTCACACCAGTAATCTTGCTTAACGACCAGGTCTCGTATTGCGACTTCATATGCTTCAGATAAAACGAGAATAACATATGATCAGCCCCACTGTTAGTATATGCAACGTTCGCCACTTTCACAAAGGAGCGAAACCTGAAAGCCTTAGGAGTGATTGGTAGATCCAATTGCGAATCTTGTGTATTTTGAAGATCAAAAGACACAATTGGCTCTAACCAATACTGGCTTAGAAGATCAACAGCAGCACGCTGGAGTCGTTTCAAAGTCCATTTGGGAAACAAGAGCTTTTTGCTCTGAAGAGTTGCATGAGCCTCTTTCTCAGCCCTTTCTTTTTCTTCAGCCTCTCTGATGATTCGCTGGTTGTCACATCCCCAAACCAGAACGGCGGAAACGTTCGGGGGCGGAGGACTTCAGGTAAGTATCACAACACATGCAATATAGTAATCAAAGTACAAACAACCATTTCATTAATAAGTATAAGTTTTACATAAGTGTTTAAACATTACATATTCAAGCACCAAAGTAGGTACAATAAAAGACAAGAGTCGCGATACGGTACTAGGTAGTCTTCTCAAAAGCTTCAGGAGTGTACCTGTCTACTGGATTCCTGAGAATACAAGTTATTTTGAAAGAGTAGATCAGCATTTAAGCTGGTGAGTTCTTAAGTATTTTAGTTCTATAAAGTATACTCTAAGTTCTTGGAAAAGTTCGCTGGTTCCTCCAGAAAATCCTATATTTCCTGAGGTGATAAACTGGTAACCTCAATAGTTTCCCTCTGTAATTACTTAGTTTATACTAATTATATAGAACCTAATATCGAATGGACAGTTAAATGGGTGTATCTTCCCTAAGCCCACAACCAAACAAGGAACAGGAAGTAAGACGGAAGTCACACATTTCACTGTCAATCGGATATTACTTATGTATAACTCTGATGTAAAAACTAAGGAATTATAGAATTAACCACTAAAGGTCCTTTATGTTATACTAGTTTACTAAGTTCCAATTGTAAGAATAGTTTAATCCCATAAACCGTTTCATTTGTAAAAGTAGTTTAATCCCATAAACCGTTTCATTTGTAAAAGTGGTTTAATCCCATAAACCGTTTCATTTGTAAAAGTAGTTTAATCCCATAAACCGTTTCATTTATAAAAGTATTCTTAGTTATATCCGTTCTACGGTAAAACATTAGTATTAATCTTGAAAAATATTATATTATGCATAATACTGCTTTGTGGTTTTAAATGTTCCAAAACCATAAGTACAAGTATATTTGCCATACTTGATTTCATGATACTTGTAGTAAAAACTAACAGAAGGTATATTTGGTCAGGATGTAATTATCTTTTCTTACTGTTTTAAGAGAAGTATATTACTAAGTAATTTACTCGTTGTTTTATCCATGTGAGTTCTATTAACCATACTAATATGACTGATGTGCCTGATGCGACGTTCTTCAGGCGTCGAAAACGATATGATATTTGACACCCTAGGCCTGCCGGCCAAACTGTAGCGAACAGTGAAGGTGCGGGATTTTCAGTCCCATATAGATCTATACACAAATTCACGCCCTCCCTACAGGAGATTCTGGTTAATAAGTTAGGACTTAAGGCCGTACTTAGATAAGTACACCATGAAGAGTCTCACAAATTTATTGTTTCAACGAGATTTACGATGTATTATTACCTCGTGATTGCTAACCCTGGTACTCTGTATTGTACCTTTGTTAATGCAAACCCGGTATGATGTATTATTACCCCGTGATTGCTAACCCTGGTACTCTGTATTGTACCTTTGTTAATGCAAACCCGGTATGATGTATTATTACTTCTTTAATATGTTATCCATATATTAAAGGTATTATACATATCCTGGTATAGATAAATGAATTTTGGTAATTTCCTTGGAAAGTATACAATCGTGAATCATACTTGTATATTTAGTTTTGAATCATAAATTATACCTATTATAATTTATATGTTCTATCTGATTAGCATGATTTCTCATGGATAAACACTTTTGCTCAACATGATACAAAGGTAATGATACCGAA